GGCGTGTGAGAATAGAATGAATTTCTAAAACTTCTAATATTGTGTCTATTTCTCTTACGACCCATGAATTATTATTTCGTTGAATGGAAATGCGTGCCCAATTTTTTTTTGAATATGCTTTTCGTGCCAATTGGTCATTTTATCTAACAGAAGAATTTGGAATATTTAAGAAAATACGTACGTACAATATCAAATACGAACGTGTAGAAACGTTACATTAATGAAATTAAAAGTAGAAGATAAACTCGTATCACAAAACTATCTGGCTATTATTATTATATGATTTAACGTTAATAATTATTTATTGGGAAAGTTATTACTTAGTGAAAGTTCTAGTTCTAAAGAATAAAACTCAAAATGAATTTTTTTTATTTTTGTTACATTTACAAATTTGCTTTTATCGTTATGACTTGGAATCTTGTGATTTTGATATCACGATTATAATAAAAAAGATCTACATAAACTCCCTTAAACCGGATAACATATAACCGGTTAATATTCTATCCGTCTAACCGAATCGAAATCTAAAACCGGATATCTGGATTTGTTACGGATAGCCGGTTTAGAATGAACCTTTATCTGACGGGTCACGGATCTAAAATTTGAAACCCTATCCAAAATTGATTCATTGAGAATGAAATAAGAGATATGCAAAATTATGCATTTTCCGGAATATCATCTAAACGTGTACAACAACAACAACATGAAATCCTACAACTATCACCAAAAAGATATCGTCCGAGTTTCTTAATTAAAAACACAATAATTCTAAAGACATATAAAATCGCAGTGAGTATCAATGCTATCAGTAATCCTGCGATTGTAATTAATAAACTCCTATCCACTCCATGCACTTCATTTATATTTGTTATCTTGCTATTTCTCCAAACCACAAAACCTATCAAAACGAGTCTCATAATTTCTAACGCATCTACGATGTATTCCAACCTATTGACCAGATTTCTCTTTAGACTCTTTCGGTCTTTGCCTCTCCAATAATAATAATATGGACCACCTATAATTAAAATATTATTGTTCAAGATTGAGAAATGTCATAAAAATTTGATTTTGAAAATGGAAAATTGATAATGACTTACAAATAAAGACGCCAATCAAGTCCCAGAAATGGAATCTTGTGTATTTGTAGATGACGAAAGCTTGAATGTATCGAGGTAAAAATTCGGCTCCGATAAGGACGACGTATAATTGCTGATTCAAAGTTTTGTTTCTAGTCTTGTAAAGAGGAATGAACATGAAATCGATACTGACATTAGTAATTTCTTCCTCAATACATATGGTGATAACTCAATTTTTCAATGCCTACCGCAATATAATATAGACCAATCGCTACGAGAGCTACCACAAAAACGACAAGATTGTATAAAGACATAACAATACTTTTTCGATCAGTACAACGACTTGGATTACTATATGGATACATTTTCTTGTCCACTTGAGATCCATTTTCAAGGTTTTGATTTTGCATGTTTTTATGTGTAACAATGTAAAGTTTACAAGGATAATTTAAAAAATCGAACGTATGCAAATCACTACTCTCTTCCTCCATATTTTATATAAGCTCCAGGCCAAGCCATAAGCTCATGTTGCGGTTAATATTCATTGTCTTTTTTCTGCAAGAACTTATCATTCCCCCTTTCTGTGTCACCAATTCAAATAATGTAATGCTTGACAAATCGTTCCACAAATAAACTTACTAGCCAACATACTATATGTAATATAGATACATGTACTATGCGTACTAATTACTGATATTATAAGTAATATAGATATGGTGCATGCCATCTAAAGTCATCGAACGTTTGTATTTTATAAAACGGATAAACTTCTTTACTAAGAAATATATATAAAATTTAATCCTTTCTGAGCATATTTACGAATTAAATTTTGTATTTACTTCTTAGTAAAGAAGTTTATCCATTTTATAAAATA